GATATTGGAGTTAAACCTGAATTATTAATGTTTTATTTTGATTTATTTACGTGTAACGTTTTAACTGTGAAGTTATTGTTCCAGTAAAAAGACTTGAAAATACGTGTCCTGACGCATTTTAAATCTGAAATGAATCTGATCACTATGGTAAACAGCACCTGGTCACGCAAACCCACGTAAAGCCAACGTCAGGCGAAGGGTAGACCGTTGCATTTCACAGCAGTTTTGAGCAGCCTACCCTGCCCAGGGAGGATGTGGCCCACGTGGCCCAGCTATGAGTATCCAGCCCATGAATTAAGACAGCCTTAATCTAGTCCAGAGGTGTCACATTAATTTTCACTTAGGACCATGTGATTGTTATGGTGAGCCTCAAAGGGCCAGTTGTAATTAACTTCAACATTTTGTGTTTAACTTTGAAACACGAAACGTCACATCAAAGACGATTTTCTGTCACCTTTGGGACAGACAATAAAGTCTATCTATCTATCTATCTATCTATCTATCTATCTATCTATCTATCTATCTATCTATCTATCCCTCATCAGCAGGCCAGATGGAAGTTGTGTGACCCACAGACCTTGAATGGCACCTGTGGTATAGTCTCTGGCCTGAAGAAAATGGGCGATACGCATTCCTTAAAGGAATGTAACCTTATTTTCTCATGATTTTCAGCTAAGTTTGATCTTGAAGTTGGCTTCGAGAGAGCAAACAGTTTAGTCGGACCATCTAAAGGAGTGGATTTCAACACAGTTGTAGCGATCACAGAAAAGTTAACCTCAATTACACTTGTGCCAATTCTGAAGAACCTCTCTGTCTGTTTTTCAAAGTGAGTTGGTGCAAATACCTCATTGTCCTTTGTGCTATTTTAGGACAGGTTGTGATACTCTGATCAGCCTTTACCTTCTGAAACATTTTTTTCTCTTGACCCGTCCGTCCGTCTGTCCGTCCGTTTTCTGCCGCTTACCCGGGGTCAGGTTGCGGGGGCAGCAGCCTAAGCAGAGAGACCCAGACTTCCCTCTCCCCAGCCACTTGGGCCAGCTCATTTGGGGGAATCCCAAGGCGTTCCCAGGCCAGCTGAGAAACATAGTCCCTCCAGTGTGTCTTGGGCCTTCTTCTGGACCTCCTCCCAGTGGGACATGCCCAGAACACCTCACCAGGGAGGCATCCAGGAGGCATCCTAACCAGATGCCCGAGCCACCTCAACTGACTCCTTTCAACGTGGAGGAGCAGTAGCTCTACTCTGAGTCCCTCCCGGATGACTGAGCTTCTCACCCTATCTCTAAGGGAGAGCCCAGACACCCTGCGAAGGAAACTCATTTCGGCCCCTTGTATCCACAATCTCATTCTTTCGGTCACTACCCAAAGTTRGTGACCATAGATGAGGGTAGGAACGTAGACCGACTGGTAAATTGAGAGCTTCTCCTTCTGGTTCAGCTCTCGCTTCACCACAACAGACTGGTACAGCTCCTGCATCACWGCAGATCCAGCACCAATCTGTCTGTCAATCTCCCGCTCCATTCTTCCCTCATTCGTGAACAAGACCCCGAGATACTTATACTCCACTAGGGACAGGACCTCCTCCCCAACCTGGAGGCAGCACACTACCGTTTTCTGGGTCAAGACCATGGTCTTGGATTTGGAGGCACTTATCCTCATCCCGGCCACTTCACACTTGGCTGCAAACCGCTCCAGTGAGAGCTGGAGATCACGATCTGATGAAGCCAATACAACATCATCCGCAAAAAGCAGAGATGTGATCCTAAGGTCACCAAAAAGTATCCCTTCAACACCTTCGCTGCACCTTGAAATTCTGTCCATAAAAATTATGATCAGAATCGGTGACAAAGGGCAACCTTTGAGGAGTCCAACTCTCACCGGAAACGAGTCCGACTTACTACCGGCAATACGGCATACAGGGACCTAACAGCCCGTATCAATGGGTCTAATACCCCATACTCCCGGAGTACCCCCCACAGGAGTCTCCAAGGGACACGGTCGAATGCGTTATCCAAGTCCACAAAACACATGTAGACTGATTGGGCGAACTCCCATGCACCCTCCAGGACCCTGCTGAGGGTGTAGAGCTGGTCTGCTCTTCCACAACCAGGAGGAAAACCACACTGCTCTTCCTGAATCCGAGATTCGACTATCCAATGGACCTTCCTCTCCAGAAKCCCTGAATAGACCTTACCAGGGAGGGTCAGAAGTGTCATTCCCTATTGTTGGAACACACTCTGCTGTCCCCATTTTTAAATAGGGGGACCACCACCCCGGTCTGCCAATCCAGAGGAACTTCCCCCGATGTCCACGCGATATTGTAYAGTCGCGTCAACCAACGCAACCCCCAACACCCAGAGCCTTAAGGAACTCCGGGCYAATCTCATTCACCCCTGGCACCCTGACCTTGGCACCAGAGATTGAAGAGTCCAACCCGGGCCCTCATGGAAAGACGTGTCGGTAGGATTGAGGAGGTCTTCGAAGTATTCCACCCACCGACCCACAACGTCCTGAGTTGAGGTCAGGAGCACACCATAAATAGTGTTGGTGGCAACCCCCCCCCC